CTAAAAATACAAAAAATCAGCTGGGCATGGTGGCACATGCCTGTAGTCCCAGCTACTCAGGAGGCTGAGGCAGGAGAATTGCCTGAACCCAGGAGGCGGAGGTTGCGGTCAGCCGAGATCGCGCCATTGCACTCCAGCCTGGGTAACATGAGTGAAACTCCGTCTCAAAAAAAAAAAAAAAAACCAATAAGAATCTTTGCAGGAATGTTAAGATGTTTTAAAATCAGAAAATATATCAACGGATTAACAATTAATACATTAAAATTAAAAACCACATGTTCCTGTAAGTGATACAGAAAAAAATGTTTCATAAAGTTTAGCAACTATGATTTTAAAATTACAAAGTAGGAATACTGGAAATTTTTCTTACTTTGAAAAGTTGATATATAAAAAATCAACAGCAAAGTTAGACTTGAGATAAACTATCCTTTAAGATCAGGAAAAAGACAAGTCATTGGAATGTCCTTGTTATTGTTTAATATGATACTGGAGGTTTTTGTCTGCATTATGAGGAAAAGAAAAAAGTATGAGGATTATAAAGGCAGAGATAAAACTGTTGATATTTACAAATAATATAAGCATCTAGAAAAAGCAACAGAATCAATAACCAAGCTGTTAGAATTAGAGTTTAGCAAGATTAACACACAACCCAGAAAAATTAACAGCATTTCTCTCTATTGGCAATAACCAAATATAAAATGAAATATATTTTGTCCACTACTATGTAGTCAGCATCCAGTGTATAGTAGATGCTTAATAAACATTTGTTGAATGTCTAAGTGAATGTGGCTTATGATGAACTTGCTGTTTTTGGTGCTTCCTGTTCTAATTACTACATGAATCTCCATCTTTGCAATCTGAGGGAAATCAGGGTTTAGTCTGGATAGACCTCTAACTGCACCTGCAGGGCTGTATCATTTATAATGTTCTCCCCACAATCTCTTCCCACAGAGCAAAGCTATCTTCTTCCTGGCTTTCTTTCCCAAGTCTGAAAAGAAGAATCAGGGGGCTTATCACTCATTAGTTCATTTCATACTATAACCCACGCCAGCACTGAGGTTTGAGGGTTCTTTACTATCTTTGGTCCAGTTGCTTAGCTGGACATGTTCGATCAATCAGAACAATCTTCTGGGTAGGTTGTTTTGACCAGTACAAATTATTTGAGTAACAACATCTTTATCCAAAAAATATCCCTATTACCTGAAATCTAGCTTTTGATTCTATTTCTTTAGCCCGAAGGTCAAGACTGGATTATCGCAGATAGATTTTGAGTTGTAGCCTCTACATTCCATTCTTTAATTATCTATCTGCACCTTGCATTTCGTTTTTTAAAAAAATTTGGACCCAGGCCGGGCGCGGTGGCTCACGCCTGTAATCCCAGCACTTTGGGAGGCCGAGGCGGGTGGATCACGAGGTCAAGAGATTGAGACCATCCTGGCCAACATGGTGAAACCCCGTCTCTACTAAAACTACAAAAAATTAGCTGGGCATGGTGGCACGTGCCTGTAATCCCAGCTACTCAGGAGGCTGAGGCAGGAGAATTGCCTGAACCCAGGAGGCGGAGGTTGCGGTGAGCCGAGATCGCGCCATTGCACTCCAGCCTGGGCAACTAGAGCGAAACTCCGTCTCAAAAAAAAAAAAAAAAAAAAAAAATTTGGACCCATGCTTGTAATCCCAACACTTTGGGAAGCCAATGTGGGAGGATTGCTTGAGTACAGGACTTTGAGACCAGCCTAGGCAACATGGCAAAATTTTGTCTCTACAAAAAATACAAAAATTAGCTGGGTATAATGGAGTGCATCTGTAGGCCTAGCCACTCAAGAGGCTGAGGTGGGAGGATCACTTGAGCCTGGGAGGTGGAGACTGCAGTAAGCCATGATTGCACCATCGCACTCCACCCTAGGCAACAGAGTGAGACCCTCTCTCTCAAAAAAAAAAAAAAATTCTTTTTGTAGAGACAGCATCTTGCTGTATTGCCCAGCTGGTCTCAAACTCCTGGCCTCAAGCAATCCCTCCTCAGCATCCCAAAGTTCTGGGATTACAGTTGTTGAGCCACCACACCCAAAAAGCACAGCAAACAGTAGTATCTTCACAGATAACTTTTAGCTAAGTTACTTTAATGAATCATTGGACTTGCGGGTTAGCAACAATTTATGATTAGCAACTTGATCACAACCACATGTATATATATTTTTGAGATAGAGTTTTGCTTTTATTGCCCAGCCTTGAGTGCAAGGGCACAATCTCAGCTCACCACAACCTCTGCCTCCCAGGTTCAAGTGATTCTCCTGCCTCAGCTTCCCGAGTAGCTGGGATTACAGGCATGTGCCACCACGCCCAGCTAATTTTGTATTTTCAGTAGAGACGACGGTTTCTCCATGTTGGTCAGGCCGGTCTTGAACTCCCAACCTCAGGTGATCCGCCCGCCTTGGCCTCCCAAAGTGCTGGGATTACAGGTGTGAGCCACTGTGCCCGACCCCATATTTAAAATTCTTGTAATTGGGATTGGTCTGTACAGCATTCCTAAGTTTTGACAAACAGCTTTGGAAACTTACATGGATGACAATTAACATTTTCTAGTGTCAACATGGACTTGTGACTTCTATAAACTTAACTTTCATTGTTTCATTTGATGATAACTTGTCAAGGACCAAGTAATCATATGTATTCCAAAATAGGCACATTTGCAAATTGTAGTGAATTCACGAACATCACAGCAAGTCTCAAAATTAAAATCCTTCTTTTTTTTTTTTTTTTTTTGAGATGGAGTTTCACTCTTGTTACCCAGGCTGGAGTGCAATGGCGCGATCTCGGCTCACCGCAACCTCCGCCTCCTGGGTTCAGGCAATTCTCCTGCCTCAGCCTCCTGAGTAGCTGGGATTACAGGCACGTGCCACCATGCCCAGCTAATTTTTTGTATTTTTAGTAGAGACGGAGTTTCACCATGTTGACCAGGATGGCCTCGATCTCTTGACCTCGTGATCCATCCGCCTCGGCCTCCCAAAGTGCTGGGATTACAGGCTTGAGCCACCGCGCCTGGCTAAAATCCTTCTGATATGGTTTGGCTGTGTCCCCAGCCAAATCTCATCTTGAATTGTAGTTCCCATAATCCCCACGTGACATGGAAAGGACCCAGTGGGAGGGACCTGGTGGGAGGTAACTGAATCATGGGGGCTGTTAGCCCCATGCTATTCTCATGATAGTGAGTGAGTTCTCACAAGATCTGATGATTTTACAAGGGGCTTTTTCCCCTTTGCTCTGCACTTCTTTCTCCAGCTGCCATGTGAAGAAGGGTATGTTCACTTTCCCTTAGCTATGATTGTAAGTTTACTGAGGCCTCCCTAGCCATGTGGAACTGTCAGTCAATTAAATCTCTTTCCTTTATAAATTACCCAGTCTCAGGTATGTCTTTATAGCAGCGTGAGAACAGACTAATACACCTTCCTTTCGAAGTGGAGAAAGAAATACTTCAGGGCACATGTATTTAATGCATATACTTTTAAAAAATAATATTACAGTTTCAAAAGCTAATTCAAAACCAGCATTGCCCTCGAACTTCCTTTTGGTGACATTTACAAATCTGTCCACACTGCAGGGGGACTAGTGTGAGTCATGGTTCATGCCATTGGAATGCCACCAATTTCATTGCCAGCCCCATCTTTAATTTTTTCAGGCTTGTATTATTATAGTTTCTCTTCTACTTTCTTGGTGTATGTCTATATTTTTGCTGTTGTTGAGAGTTAGTATCTGGGCCAGGTGTGGTGGCACATGCTTGTAATCCCAGCACTTTGAGAGGCCAAGGTGGGTGGATCTCTTGAGCCCAGGAGTTCAAGACCAGCCTGGGCAACATGGCAAAACCCTGCCTCTATAAAAAGTCTAAAAATAAAAATAAATAAATAAATAAAATCTGTTTCTTCCTTACCTCTCCTAAAATATGTCCATTTGAAGAATGGCAGGGAGTTGGAGGGTGGGTGGATTCTGCCTGTATTCACTTCCTTTTTTTGTTTTCCACATCTGCTTTTTACTGTTCAGCCCACGGAGTCATTTTTGTGGAGAAACTCATTTTTACAGTGCTCCTATTCCTCTGGATTCTTATTTGGGGCAAGCAGAAAACACAGCCCACACAAACCACTCATAATGGGTTTAATACTGGACCTGCTAGGTTATCAAGGATACAAAGCAGCCGCTTACTTGCTGGCTATCAGAGAGTCACAGAAAAATGTTGAGCCGAAATTTTGGAGAGGATTCACCCTGGATCTGTATCTCCCCAGCTGGTTCCAATGCACCCATCCGAGACCATACCGGTTCCAAAATTGTCCAATAGAGGATCTTACTCACTCCTGCACAGCCTGTTGGAGATGTCTAAAAGCTAAATTCCACAGTTAAAAATGGTTTAAATTTTCCCTAGCTTTCCTCAGAATTCATGAATGAAGCACCTTTTTAAATCCAAGAACCCAAGAAGGGAAAATAAATCTGTGTGATTGGTTACATAGAAAAATGGACTAAGAAAAGCTCCAATGCCCAGTCCTCTGGCATACTTCCTATTAGGATGGAGGTGAAGGGGATTTTTTTTTTTTTTTTTTTTTGAGGCAGAGTCTCCCTCTCTATTGCCCAGGCTGACATTGCAGAGGCAGGATCATGGCTTCCTGCAGCCTCAACCTCCCAGGCTCAAGCAACCCTCCCACCTCAGCCTCCTGAGTAGCTGGGACTACAGGCTCACGCCATCACGTCTGGTTAATGTTTGTATGTTTTTGTAAAGCTAGTGTCTCATTATTTTGCCCAGGCTGGTCTCAAACTCCTAGGCTCACGTGATCTTCAAAGAAGATTTTTGAGCAAGCTAAACATGTTTTACAAAACCTGGCAGTTGGCTCTGTCAGGGAAGAAAAACATTTGCAAACGAAGATCTCCAGTGTATACCTATTCACTTTTTGTCTAAATAATCTGTGAAGTTGGGTAAAGAGTCATTTCAGAAATACTCTCTATGGTACACTTTTATACAGGAAGCTCAAGGAGATATGCACCTGCGAATTAGCATGAACCCACGCAGGTCTTCCTGGCTCAGAGTTCCAGCTTCACATCACTGTGTCCCACTGAAACAATGAAGCACAAACTGGAAGAAGAAAGATGTGAGATGTGAATACTCAACAAAATTTTTGATACAGGGAAGGCTTTTCAAATTAAGAAATGATGAACATTTTTCATAAAGTTGATTACATGAAATTTAAAGGTAAGCATTAAAACTCAATATTTGAGAACAAATGACAAATTTGGGAGTAGATATACTAAATTTGGCATAGAATTAGTGTATTTTATTTTATTTATTTATTTATTCATTTATTTATTTATTTTGAGATGGAGTCTGGCTCCCATCACACAGTCTGGAGTGCAGTGGCGTGATCTCAGCTCACTGCAACCTCCACCTCCCAGGTTCAAGCGATTCCCCTTCCTCAGCCTCCTGAATAGCTGGAAATACAGGTGTGCACCACATGCCCTGCTAATTTTGAATTTTTAGTAGAGACAGGGTTTCACCATGCTGGCCAAGCTGGTGTTGAACTCCTGACCTCAGGTGATCCACTCGCCTCGGCCTTCCAAAGTGCTAGTATTATAGACATGAAGGAATTAGTATATTTTGTATAAGTATTTATATACATTATTTTAAAAGTTAAAAGGTACAATTAAAATCATTTTAGGCCAGTCACAGTGACTCATACCTGTAATCCCAGCATTTTGGGAGGCTGAGGCAGGCTAATCACTTGAGGTCAGGATTCCAGACCAGCCTAGCCAACATGGTGAAAGCCCGTCTTTACTAAAAATACAAAAATTAGCTGGGCATGGTGGTGGGCACCTGTAATCCCAGCTAGTCGGTAGGCTGAGGCAGAAGAATCACCTGATCCCAGGAGGCAGAAGTTGCAGTAAGCCAAGATCATACCACTACACTCCAACCTGGGTAACAAAGCAAGACTGTTTCCAAAATTTAAAAAAAAAGTCATTTTAAATAGTAATGGTCTTGAATGGACATTCTCAGAAAAGGAAATCAAACCAGTCAGGATAAATGGAAAGACTTAATTTGATGAGTAATTATAGGAATGCCAATATTAACCACAAATTATCATTTGCCTGACAAAATTAGCAATGATTCTAAAGTTGCAATAGCCAATTTTAGCAAGATCAGTAAAAGAGGGCAGCTCACACTTTTCTCAGGGTTGTATAAATTAATAATTGAGACAGGGCTGGGTGCAGTCTGTAATCCCAGCACTTTGGGAGTCCAAGGTGGGTGGATCACCTGAGTTTGGGAGTTCTAGATCAGCCTGACCAACATGGAGAAACTCTCTACTAAAGATGCAAAATTAGCCAGGCATGGTGGCGCATGCCTATAATCCCAGCTACTCTGGAGGCTGAGGCAGGAAAATCGCTTGAACCCAGGAGGCAGAGGTTGCAGTGAGCCAAGATCACATCATTGCATTCCAGCCTGGGCAACAAGAGTGAAACTCCATCTCAAAAATAATAATAGTAATAGTAACAATAATTAAAACAACTTTTTGTAAAGCAATTTGGTGACTGTAATACCTATACTAGAAGAGCCCAGGCATTGTTTCCACTCCCAGAAAGTATTTATACCCTTTGACTCAGTACTTTTCTGTCTTAAGGAAAGAATTCAAAATATGGAAAAGGATGTATGCACAAAGATGTTTATTCTGGCACTATATACGTGTTACCAGGCCATACCAATCTAGAGTTGCACATGAGGTCAACATCATGATAATAAAAAGCATTCTTCTAACTGTCCCCATCTGCTCCACGAGGTCTCCAACTGCCAGGAAAGCTTTGTGTTCTATCACTAGGTTGTCTTAAGTACCCAGTATCTGCTCCTCTATACTCTGGTATGTTTTCTGTGGCTGCATTTACCAAGAAACTTAGTGATGCCATGCATACCCCTATTAGGATCACTGTTACTACTACAAATACTGATGCCACCACAAACATGGCCAGCACTCAACAGTGAGAATACTGGTATGAGCATCATCTGTCTTGGTTGCACTGGAGTGACAGCATAGATTACATAGTGGCTAATGAATGTAGCGGTTTATTAAGGTGAATGTTGCTCAGAAACATCAGTGACCAAGATGGAATTTTCAGCCAAGGGAGATAAAACTTGTCTAGTTTAAATTTATACATGCTCTGCCTCTTAAAAACAACTAAAGTGCTTTGCAAATGTTTGCTAAGTAAAATTAGTGGTGTTCTATGATACTGTAACAACAGAAGTTGTAACCTCAAGACTATATCCTGTATCATTAATATGAGAAATTATACTTGTTAAACTATGATTTTCTTACCTAAAATTATCAGTTGTATCATAGGAAATTGAATTTGGTCACTAATAATGTGATCATCATGGCTGGGTGTAGTGGCTCATACTTGTAATCTCAGCATTCTGGGAGGCTGAGATGAGTGAATCACTTGAGCCCAGAAGTTCAAGAGCAGCCTGGGCAACATGGAGAAAACCCATCTCTACAAAACATACAAAAAAATTAGCTGGGTGTGGTGGCATGCAGCTGTAACCCCGGCTACTCAGAGGCTGAGATAGGAGGATCACTTGAGCCCAGGAGGTTGAGGTTGCAGTAAGCCAAAATCATGCCACTGTGCTCCAGCCAGAGTGACAGAGAAAAATTCTATCACACACAAAAAACCATTGATAGGCCAGACGCGGTGGCTCATGCCTGTAATCCCAGCACTTTGGGAGGCCGAGTTGGCAAATTATGAGGTCAGGAGATCGAGACCATCCTGGCTAACACAGTAAAACTCCGTCTCTACTAAAAATACAAAAAAATCAGCTGGACATGGTGGTGCGCACCTGTAGTCCCAGCTACTTGAGAGGACGAGGCAAGAGAATTGTTTGAACCCAGGAGGCGGAGTTTGCAGTGAGCTGAGATCACGCCACTGCACTCCAGCCTGGGCGACAGAGTGACTCTGTCTCTGAGAAAAAAAAAAAAAAAAATATATATATATATATATATATATATACACACACACATATATATATATATATATATACACACACACACATGCACACACATGGTTTTTTTTTTATGTATTTATAAGGTGATCATCTCTGACCTTGGCCTCTCAGGTCTTGTATCGTTTATTTCACCAGTATATAAACCATATAAGGTCTCTTGCCAGACAGGAAAAGGTCTCTAACTATTACCTAGGCTTTCCTATTTGAAGTCTGTGCAAATAAAACAAAATTGTGTTCACGGCTTAATCATTTTGGATGCAATGCTTAAGTCTTGATTTTCTACAGAGTAGAAAGAGAACGGTTAAATTAGTCTTCCAAAAACATGTGAATAGAAAATTCCAGAACATACTCTGTTGAATGTTTTCAAGGTATTTTGTACTGAAAAAGAAGACATATTGATAACAATTCTGTATCTAACTTTCCCATTTGCTTTTCTCTTGGCACAAAGTTGTTTATTTTTTTCTTTCCTTTTGCTTTCTAAATGGAAAAACCATCTGATTCAATCCAAACCTACAAATGCCTCTTTCTCCCTGAAACTCTACAAAAAACAAAAATAAAAAATCTGAAGTTTTTTGGAGAAAAGGTAGTGTCTCACTGGATCAATTCATTGTTGGGTGAGGAAGATGGGAAGCTCAACTCATCCTTCCTCAGCAGATTCTACCCTGACAAAATCTTATTCCAAAATTGGCATTATTTAAGCACACAAGTGTTATAGCTTCTGGCTCTCAATTCTTACAGTCCCTCCCCAAACACTGCACAATCTGACTCTCATTCTCCTTGACTTTCTGTTCTAGAACATCACCTGACACTTAACCTGTAGTTCAGATTCTTCCACCCCTGAGATAGCTCTGCAAAAGCCCTAGTTTTCGTATCTGGCTATTTGCAGCTCAGGCTGCATTGCTCTGTTCAATTCGTCCTAGGTCCTCAGCTTCTTTCTTTTTCTAGGAACTCTTTTTTTTTTTCTTTTAAAATTCTAGGTTGGTGGATGCAGGAGTATAAACTATCTTCCACGTATTCTCTTGCTCCAATGTTTTCTGAAAGCATTTTCCCTTGGGGAAGTGCCTGGTAAATTCAAAATAGTTACTGTTAGTTTTCTGCCAGAAATATCCTTCTTCAAAACTTCTCTTGGCCCACAGCTCTGGTTGTGTGACTATGTCTGTCTCTACCACGTTCTTCTACTATAAGGAAATTCCTGGACCCAAACCTCTGTCAGCTTACATTACTTCCATTCGTTAGCATCATTCTACTAGCAGGTTAGATGTCACAGTGGACATTCCTAGCTAGATTGTGCCATGTTTACAGCCCACCCTCAGTGCCCACCTCCCTGTGCTTCTATGTATATCAAAGCTACCCTGCATGTAGTCTGCCTGGGTCTCAGCTGTCCCCCTGAGATGAGAGCACTATCAGGAAGTGTTAATCTGCAGCTGTGCTTGCAAGGACAAATGGTCAAAGAACCAGTTGCCTCCTCATTTTCAATTGGCTATCCTCTTTTTCTTTTGCACTGCCTTGAATATATTTCTTGAATATAGACCAGTTAGAAGAGCTGCCAAGCTTTAACATATTTAATCCTAACTTCTGCACGTATACCATACAACATTAGCAATTCTGGGGGAAAATCTCAGTATGAAATTTCTCTTAATGACTTCACTATTGTTAGGGTTTTGCTGGTATACAGAAGAGTTAATATAGCAAGCCTGATTGCAACGTTGGCCTTGGGCTGGTGTTTAGGAACTTGGATTTGAGGAGTGTCCCCACCATTCCCTAACTGAAAAGGGTGGCTCATTCTGCCTAGACTGTACAAACAGTGTCATTTATGCTGGACACCTGCTTTCCTTCAGGGGATCTGGAATTTTGGTACATGCTAGGCAGAGTGTGTCTATGTGGCCAGACCTTTGGGTGTTGAGACTCTAATGGGTTTCCCTCTAATGGGCAGAAACATTCGATGCTTATTGCTGGGGAAACACATTTTCACTGCTGAAGGGAGAGTGCACTGTGTGATTCCTTGTGGAGGGGAGGGCAATAGGAAGCCTGCCCATGCATTTCCCCAGGCCCTACCTGAGTCTTTCTCCCTCCTCATCACATTGCCATAATAAACCTTAGCCATGAATACAACTATATTCTGGGTCCTGTGAGTCCTTCCAGTGACTCACCAAACATGGGGATACCCGTGGGCACCCTCCAGATGAGTAATTAGATCGATGAATCCCAATGTTTCCAATAGAGTCAAAGTCACTGGTGCCATCTTCCCTCTATGTAACAAAGCTACTCAGTATGTCACAGAGAGTTTAATGAAGCCACTTGTTTAAGTTCTTACTTTTTTCTTTGTTGGTGTCTCCCTTAGCTGGAACTTGGGCAGGAGCCCGAGTCTGGGCTGAAGTAAGATACAAGTAACCAACACTGAGCTGAGCACTCACTTTTTCCCTTGACCTTGAACCACTCACTGTGAGTCTTAACTCTCTTCCATACAAAGTATTCTTTTCCTATGAAATTTCTCTGCCTTTCATATAAATATTTAAAAATTATTATTGTTAGGCTGGGTGCTGTGATTCTTACCTATAATCCCAGCCTTTTGGGAGGCAGAGGCAGGTGGATGGCCTTGAGCTCTGGTGTTCAAGACCAGCCTGGGAAACATCGCAAGAACTCATCTCTACTAAAAATACAAAAATTAGCTGGGTGTAGTGGTGCGCACCTGTGGTACCAGCTGCTCAGGAGGCTGAGGCTGGAGAATTGCTTGAATGCTTGAAGCAGAGGTTGCAGTGAGCTGAGATTGTGCCACTGCACACCAGCCCAGGCAACAGAGTGAGACCGTCTCAAAAATTTTATATATATTATTATTATTTTAGAGACAAAGTCTTACTCTGTCACCTGGGATGGAATGTAGTGGTTCAATCATAGCTCCTTGCAGCCTCCAACTCCTGGGTTCAAGCAGTCCTCCTGCTTTAGCCTTCTGAGTACCTGTGGCTATAGGCATGTAGCCATACCCCACTTATTTTTTTTTAAGTTTAGTATAGATGGGGTCTCGTTATATTGCCCAGGCTTGTTTTTACATTATTTTGAATGAAAAAATTAGCACACCACTGAGAGTTGCTAGGAAGTCCCTCCTAAACCACACTTACCCATCTGGATATAAATCCAAGTAAGTAATCCATACCAGCACATCCTACTCACCCTTACCCTTCCAATATAATTCATAAACCAAGGTAATAAGACCTCAATTAAGGAATGGTACCTGTTTCACAGTTCAGCATGCCTAATAGCTGATATCTAAACAAGGCCCCCAACCTGGAAAGTAAAACCCAAACATAACCCAAAGCCATCTGTGGGTGGCTCCTCTGATTAAATTGTAACAAATCCACCTTCTGTGTTCCATGTTAGTCCAATGTCCTCCCACAATGTCTGTGAGCTCCCTGGGCTTGCCTCCTCCTGAGTCATGCTAGCTATTTTCAAATGTGAGTTCTATTTTGTTCCAAGATCATTAGGATATTTAGGTCCTTCACCAATTTCCACAAGAAAATTGATTCATTCCAATATTGAGGTTTTTTTATTTATTTGCTAGTGATTAAGGAATCCATTATGTAACCCAGAACCATTCTCTCTACTCTTAATTTTTTCTTCTAAAATGGAAGTTCCAATTTTTTTTTTTTTTTCTTTCTCGCTCTTAGGAAAAGCAGTTCATTTCCTTCCAGGAAGTTTTAGTATCTGCTGGTATTGATGCCCAGTTTGTATTTTAAAAGTTCCTTCTAGCTGCTAGATGGTGAAAAGACTGAAAGGAGGCAAGGGGATAGGCAAAGGGACCAGTATCGGGTTATTTTAGGAGATGATGGTGGTTTGAACCAGGTTGTGGCAAGGCTGATAAAGACAAGTGCATAAGTAGGAATATTTTGGAGGAGATGCTGTAGTACTTGCTTATCGACTGGATTGTAGGTGAGTGTTGAGGGAGAAGAATCTGAGATAACTTGCAGGTCTCTGGACTTGGGGCTGGAGGTCCCAATTACTAATGGGGAAGGCTAGCGAGAAGTAGGTTTGAGTTGTATATAACTAAGTCTTGGTTCTGTGGCCTGTAACAAAACGTCTGCTATACATAGTAGCTTAAACAAGTAGGGGCATCATTTTTTTCTGTAGCATCCCAGAACTAATGTTGGGATGCAATGATGTTGTTTCTCAGGGTCCTTCCAACTTTCCACTTTTTCACCTTCAGCTTGTGGACCTCATGATCATGAGGTGGCTGCACTATCTCTGTGTATGTTCCACGCAGAAAAAAAGAGAGAGGGTTCATTCTGCCCACTTTTTAGAGGCTTTCTTAGAGGCCCTATCCAGTAACTTCTGCTCACGCCTCTGGGCAGAATTGTCATGTGATCACTTCTAACAATAAAGGAGCTTGGCTAACAACTTTTTAGCTAAACATGTTGTTATTCTAAACAACGTTGGGATACTTGGTAGCAAAGAACCAAGAGAGAATGCAGCTAGAGTCACCTGTTCCAGATGGAAATCAGTTCAGTTTAGAACATGTTAAATTTAAGATGCCAAGGGGAAAATGCCCAGGGGACTCTTTTTTTTTTTTTTCTTTGTTCTTTGCTTAAATTCTTGAGACAGAGTCTCCCTCTGCTCCATCATCCAGACTGGAGTGCAGTGGCGTGATCTCAGCTCACTGCAGCTTCAACCCTCACCTCAGCCTCCTGGGCTCAAGTGATCCTCTCACCTCAGCCTCCCAAGTAGCTGGGACTACCGGCGCACCCCACCACACCCAGCTAATTTTTGTATTTTTTGTAGAGATGAGGTTTTACCATGTTGCCCAGGCTGGACAGGAGGCTCTTGGGCCCATGAATAGTTGAAGCTTGGAAGACATCCTGGGCAGGAGATATAAAATTGGGAGTGTTTGGTCTGCTGATGGCCTTTGTCTTTTTTTTTTTTTTTTTTTTGAGACGGAGTTTCACTCTTGTTACCCAGGTTGGAGTGCAATGGCGCGATCTCGGCTCACCGCAACCTCCGCCTCCCGGGTTCAGGCAATTCTCCTGCCTCAGCCTCCTGAGTAGCTGGGATTACAGGCATGCGCCACCATGCCCAGCTCATTTTTTGTATTTTTAGTAGAGACGGGTTTCACCATGTTGACCAGGATGGTCTCGATCTCTTGACCTCGTGATCCACCCGCCTCGGCCTCCCACAGTGCTGGGATTACAGGCTTGAGCCACCACGCCCAGCAGGGCCTTTGTCTTTTTACTTGCAGTGGAAAGTATTCTAGTTGATTCAGAAGAGGTTGATTATGCAGGAGAAAAGAAATAATCCAAGTACCCTAGGAAGGTTAGGAAAAATGCAACCCAAGTACATTAACCTTCGGTAGGAGGAGAGAAGCTTCCTCCATTGTCACAGAAAGAAAAGCGAAGATGGGCCAGATGTGGTGGCATACACCTGTAATCCCAGCTAATCTGGTGGCTGAGGCAGGAGAATTGCTTGAACCTGGGAGGCAGAGGTTGCAATGAGCCGAGATTGTGCCACTGCACTCCAGCCTGGGCAACAGAGTGAGACCCTGTCAAGAGGAAAGAAAGAAAGAAAAAGGAAGGAAGGGAGGGAAGGAAGGAGGAAGGGGGGGAGGGAGAAAGCAAGAAAGAGAAAGAAAAAGAGTGGGAGAGAAGATGGATGAATATGCAGAGAAGTCTGTAGTAGTTTTGGCTATAAAAAGACAAAGTCTCTGCTCTAATGTCTTTTAATCTCTCAGTGAAGCATCAGTTCAGAATAGTTGAGGGGTGAGGCTTAAGAACTGTGTGAAAGGATAAAATTGTCATCAAGTTTTGTGAGTAAGCAAATTTACTGCAGAATCTCTGGGGTTGCTGGGCAGTGTCTCATGTGCCTCTGTGTTGTTTTTGATCATTAGGGGAAAACCAGTCAGTTTAGTTAAATGATTTTCTCCAACAATGTTCAGGGGCTCATGGAAAGGTGTGGAGAAGTTAGTGGTTGCTTTTATTCGGGGCTAGGGTTATGCCAGGCGTGACTGATGGAGAAAGAAAAAAGCAAGGAAGGCAAAAGCATTTGCCAGGGAGTGATTATAACAAAGCACCTTGGAATCTTTTTTTTTTTTGAGACAGGGTCTCCCTGTCACCCAGGCTGGAGTGCAGTGGTATGATTATAGCTCACTGCAGTGTCAACTTTCCCAGGCCCAAGTGATCCTCCCACCTCAGTCCCCCAGTTAGCTGCAACCACAGGCATGCACCACCATACCTGGCCACCTTTTTAAAAAATGTTTTCACGGAGATGGAGTTTCACCTCATTGCTCATGCTAGTTTCAAACTCCTGGCCTTAAGCCATCTGCCACCTCAACCTCCCAAAGTACGTGGATTACAGGTATGAGCCACCACACTTGGCTGGAATCCCATCTGAACTGAATTGAACTGAAATGTATGCCCACTCTGATAATAGTGATAAAAAGCCAGAAAACCAGAACCAAGGGAAAAAGAACACAGAAATAAAAGACTCATAAACTGTTTAAGTTGAGCTTTATGCTGTGTCAACTCAGCCAACTCATCATTCCTGGTTCCTTTCCTGGCAGGAAGCTTTTCACAAGGCCTGGCAAGTGTGAACAAATTAGCAAACCCCAGCATTGCATTTCAGTGCCAGCCAGAATGAGCATGCCCAGAATTGTCCAGGCAGAGCTCTCGGCCTGAGCTTTGGGGACCTAACCAGGAGACATTTCTTCTTTCCAGCCTTCAAGAAAGATCAAACACTATAGACCACTCACTTCCTGACTCACCTTTTCCTGGCCAAAAGCTTCTAGCTGGGCAGGTAGTACTCTGGCAGGTAAATGGGTGTTTGTTGTCAAACCCTAGTCTCATACAAAGAGAATCTGGGGGAGCCAACGTGGGGCTGGTGGGGTACATGTGGAAGGAGATGTTCTGATGTCTGTGTGGAGGTAAGGAGATGGCAAGCTGGGAGTGTGTGGTGCAGACAGGTCAGCACTGGGGCAATGATAACCTGGAAAGAGATCATGAGATAGCAAGCACAGCCCTCCACACACGTTGTGTGGTCTCAGAATGCCAGGAAGGAGTTGAGGCTGGGAGAAACTTCCAGGATGATGGAGTGCAGTCCCAGGACCTCAGTGATGTGTGCAGAGTGGGGCATTAGGGAATACAAGGTCATTTCAATGACACATAGGTACACACACATTCATCCTCACACCTAGATCACCAGTAACAACCCAGATCCCTGGGTTCCCTGCTGCTGTGGTCTAAATGTTTGTGTACCCTCAAAATTCCTATGTTGAAATTCTAGCCCCAAAATAATGGTGTTAGGAGGCAGGGCTTCCTAACAGGAAGTGATTAAGTCATGAGGGTGAAGATTGAATGAGTGGAATTAGTGCCTTTATAAAAGAGGCCATAGGCTGGGTGCAGTGGCTCACAGCTGTAATCCCAGCACTTTGGGAGGCCAGGGTGGGTGGATCACCTTGAGGTCAGGAGTTCAAGACCAGCCTGACCAACATGGCAGAACCTTGTCTCTACCAAAAATACAAAAATTAGTCAAATGTGGTGGTGGGTGCCTGTAATCTCAGCTACTCAGGAGGCTGAAGCAGGAGAATCACTTGAACCTGGGAGGCAAAGGTTGCAGTGAGCCGAGATGGCACCACTGCACTCCAGCCTGGGTGACAGAGTAAGACTGTCTCAAAAAAATAAAACAGGCCTTGAAAAGACCCCCTCACCACTTCCACCGTGCAGGGTCATAGAAGACGCCTATAGCAAAGTGGGCCATCAGCAGGCACCATTTCCCAGCACCTTGATCTTGGACTTCCCAGGCTCCACAACTATGAAAAATAAATGTTTGTTGTTTATAAGCCACCCAGTTGATAGTATTTGGTTACCAGCTTACTTAGCTTACACAAACTAAGACACCTACATAGAAAGCATTAATATAGTGCTTCCCAAACAGTAATGTGCTAAATCACCCCTGGGTCTTGTTTAAAATATAGATTCTAAATCAATAGGTCAGAAGTGGGATCTGAGGTTCTACACTTCTAACAAGCTCTCAGCTGATGCTGATGCTGCTAGTTCAGGGACCACCTTTGAGGAGCAAGGCTGTAGTCACTTAAGAGTCATTCATTTCCACAACATTCTTCTATGTCCTGGGGCTACCATTGAATTGCCATGAGTTCAGCTTCTCCTGAATAACATTCTCCAGTTGTCTATCCTGAGGCCCTGTGTATGGAATGGGGCCTCATTGAACATAGGGTAGATACACTGGGGTCCAAAGACTCTTGGACTAACAACTTCCATCACTTTGAAGTAACCGAAGAAAATGTCCTCCAGCTTTAGTCTTGAGCATGTGTAGATCACGGTGGTAGAACCAGGCGGTGCCTACCACTTGGATTTTTTTCTCTGGAGCAGGTGCCAGTTTACATACTTCCTTTTTAAATAATAATAATAATAATAAAAAGACGGAGTCTCGCTCGGTTGCCCAGTCTGGAGTGCAGTGGTGCCATCTCGGCTCACCACAACCTCCACCTCCCAGGTTCAAGCGATTCTCTTTCCTCAGCCTCCCGAGTAGCTGAGACTACAGGCACATGCCACCATGCCCGGACTAATTTTTGTATTTTTAGTAGAGACAGGGTTTCACTATGTTGGCCAGGCTGTTCTTGAACACCTGACTATGTGATTCACCCACCTCAGCCTCCCAAAGTGCTGGGATTACAGGCATGAGCCACCATGCCTGGCCTCACATACTTCTTCTAATAGGTAGCTTGTCCTTGGTAGCTTAAATTTATCTTAGGAGCAACTCACCTATCAGGATGTCAGTGGTACTGCATGGACTGAGGAAGTAATGGGATAAACTATAGTTGCTATGAAATGGTGTATTCTGGAAGAAGATGCTGGGAGTTGTGCACAGCATGCTGGGTGGTGAGGACAGGAACCAATGGAGATATTGGAGGAGGTATAGATATGCAAGTTCTCTTCAAACTCTTGTGGTCACTGATTAGTTGGGGTGATAGCCATTAAAGTACCCTCCAAACCCGGAGATAAACCGGGGACCATAGTGGCACTGGGGAGAGACTGGATGGTGCATGACTGTATAAGACGACAGGTTTTTTGTTTGTTTGTTTGTTTGAGACAGGGTCTCACACTATCACCCAGACTGGAGTGTGTTGGCAAGATCATGGCTAACTGCAGCCTCAACCTTCCAGACCTAAGCAACCCTCCTGCCTCAGCCTCCTAAATAGCTGGAACTACAGGTATGCACCACCATGGCTGCTATTTTCTGTATTTTTTTGTAGAAATGTGATTCCATCATGCTGCCCAGGCTGGTCTCAAACTCCTGGATTCAAGTGATCCACCTGCCTCAGCCTCCCAAAGTGCTGGGATTATAGGGATGAGCCACCGCGCCCGACACCCTTTTTCTTTGTTTTTTTGGGGGCTTTTTTGTTTTGTTTTTAAGACAGTCTCATTCTGTCGCCTAGGAGTGCAGTGGTGCAATCTTGGCTCACTGCAACCTCTGCCTCCCAGGTTCAAGTGATTCTCCTGCCTCAGCCTCCCAAGTAGCTGGGATAACAGGCGCACATGGCCATGCCCAGCTAATTTTTGCATTTTTAGTAGATGGGGTTTTGCCATATTGGCCAGGCCAGTCTCGAACTTCTGACCTCAGGGATCGCCTGCCTTGGACTCCCAAAGTGTTGGAATTACAGGCGTAAGCCACCATGCCCAGCCAGAAATATTATTCTTTTGATTTTTTTTCAACCATTAAAAATGTAAAAATCACAGCAACTAAAACAACAGAATCGAAAGACAACGTATGGAATAGGGGGAAATACATACAAATCATTTATGTAATAATGGGTTAATATCCAGGCTATATAAAGAACTACAATCAACAACAACAACAACAAAAATAACCCAATTTAAAAACTGACAAAAGACTTGAATAGACATTTCTCTAGACAAACTATGCAAATGGCAAACAAGCATAAAAAGATGCTTAACATCACTATCAACACAGAAATGAAAATCAAAACTACAATGAGCTATCCCCTCATACCCATTAAGATGGCCACTCTTGGAAAATAATTAATGTTGGCAAGGGTGTGGAAAAATTGGAATCCCTAGGCACTGTTGGTGGGGATGTAAAATGGTGCAGCTGCTATGGAAAAACAGAATGGATGCTCCTTAAAAGATTAAAAATAGAACTACCATATAAGCCAGCAATCCCACTTCTGGGTATATAGCTAAAAGAATTGAAAGCAGAATCTCAAAGAGGTATTTATATACCCATGTTCATTGCAGCATTATATACAATAGCCAAGTGGTAGAAGCAACTTAAATGTCCATAAACAAATAAACGGATAAAGAGAATATGGTACATGCATGCAAGGAAATATTCAGTCTTTAGAATGGAAAGCTTGTCAAATGCTATCATTTGAGTGAATCTTGAGGACATGATGCTAAGTGAAATAAGACAGTCACAGAAGGCCAAATACTGCACAATTCCACTTAACAAGAGGCATGTAAAGGAGTCAAACTCAGATACAAAGAAATGTGGTTGTCAGGGGCTGGGGGGAGGTGGAAGTGAGCAGTTGTTCAATGGGTATAGAATTTCAGTCATGCAAGATTAAAACATTCTAGAGATATGTTGGACAAATGTGTGAGTATTGTTAACACTACTGAATTGCACACATGGTTAACATGATAAATTTTATGTTATGTTTTTTACTGTAATATTTAAAAAATTAAAGACCATTATTACCTGGCAGGCTGTATAAAAATAGGCAGCAGGCTGGATTTGGCCAGTTTGCAAACTCCTGATCTAATCTTTAGTTCACATTCAAATTTTACCAGTTGTTTCAATCATTATCTTTATAATTATCCACCCCCCAACTCCCAGCCATGTAATTCAGGTCCGTCTTGTTGTCATATCTCTTTAATAGTTCCTCAATCTTCCTTTGACTCCATGACCTTGACACTTTTGAAACTTACAAACTAGCTATTTTGTAGAAGTTCCCCTGGTTTGAGTTTGTCTGCTGTTTCCTCATGATAAAATCCAGATTATGTATTTCAGTCAGGAACTCACAGAATTGATATTGTGTTCTTCTCAAGGCAAATATGAGAATACACAAGATAGTATTTGTTTGTCTCATTACTGATAATATTGACTTTGACCTCTTGTCTGTCAGTTTTTTCCACTGTAAAGTTACATTTTTCCCCTTTAGTAGATCATTTGTGAAGATGCATTTAGAACATGTAAATACTCTGTTCCTTGTTAAACTTTCACCTTTTAGTTTTGTGATTCTTGCCTGAATCAATTATTAATAAATGGTTTCAAAATTGTGACATTCTAATTCCATCATTCCCTCTATATTTATTAATTGTACATTCTACTGTCAGAAATACATATATATATTTATATATATACATATATATAAATATATATATAGATTTTTTTTGGTGGGGGAGGGCAGGGTCTCTTTCACTTATGTCACCCAGGCTGAAGTGCAGTGGCACAATCTCAGCTCATTGCAACCTCCACGTCTCAGGCTCAAGTGATTCTCGTGCCTCAGCTTTCAGAGTATTGGAACTATAGGTGTGTGCCATCATGCCAGGCTAATTTTTGTATTTTTAGAAGAGAGGGGTTTCATCATGTTGGCCAGGCTGTTCTTGGACTCCTGGCCTTAAGTGATCCACCCACCTTGGCCTTCCACAGTGCTGGGATTACAGGTGTGAGCCACCGAACCTAGCCCTCCTTTTCTTTCTTTTTTTTTTTTTTTTCTGAGACGGAGTTTCGCTCTTGTTACCCAGGCTGGAGTGCAATGGTGCGATCTCGGCTCATCGCAACCTCCGCTTCCTGGGTTCAGGCAATTCTCCTGCCTCAGCCTCCTGAGTAGCTGGGATTACAGGCATGCGCCACCATGCCCAGCTCATTTTTTTGTATTTTTAGTAGAGACGGGGTTTCACCGTGTTGACCAGGATGGTCTCGATCTCTTGACCTCGTGATCCACCCGCCTCGGCCTCCCAAAGTGCTGGGATTACAGGCGTGAGCCACCGCGCCCGGCCAACCCTCCTTTTCTTATCTCTGTGTTTATGAACTCTTGGTAACTTACTTTAGGGGTGATAATATCTGTTAATCCATTAAAATATTTTCTGTTATTGATTGATTGATTTCTGCCTTAAACTATTAAGGGTTAACCATTAATATGTTTTATTATTTATTTATTTATTTTTTGAGACAGAGTCTCGCTCTGGATCCCCAGGCTGGAGTGCAGTGGCACAACCTCAGCTCACTGCAACCTCTGCTTCCTGGGTTCAAGTGATTCCTCTGCCTCAGCCTCCTGAATAGCTGGGACTACAGGCATGTACCACCACACCGGGCTAATTTTTTGTATTTTAGTAGAGACGGGGTTTCACCAT